TCCAATCTGGTCACCTGAAAAGTAATACTTTGAAAACATTTGACATTTTACAGTCATTCAAATTGGTAAGCAGAGAACAACAATTCCATAAACCAATTACTAGTAGTTTTTAGTTTAACATGGATGTCTGAAAGTTAAATGTATGGATTTTCTCAGAATTCATTGAAGCAGTATGGTGACAAAAATATCTTAATTGTGTGGAATTGGCTTAGAGTAGTACTTAAGGAAAATGGGCTTCTATTTCCTTTTTTAGCTCATTTAATAAATACACCTGAAAGGGAGACATTAGCTTTGATAGAAATACTTTCATTATTTTGTAATAGGTTAGTGAGATTGATTTGGTATATACGTCCTCTAAGATAATTGAATTAACTATGTTACTACTGCTTTTCAGACTGAATTTGTGGGTTTATCTGAGTTGTAGACAATTCCCATTATTAAAAATTTAAAACTTTTGAATTGTGAAAGCATCAGGCCATGCAGAAATATTAAACTAATATTAAAATATTATTTAAATATTTGATTTCAGGGCATGGTTTAGCATTTGAGTCCATTTTTATGGGATGATCTTATAAAAATTGTAGCATTTATATTTTTAACTGTTTAAACCAGATGTTATTTTAAATGTACAGAATAAACGATTGGCTTAGAGGAAGCATACATTCTTTATAGGAGCCTTTAAAAAGAAAAAGCATGAGAATTTAGTATAGGCGTTTTTTTTAAAAAATCTTCACTGTATATTGGTAATTGTAAACCGTTTTGAAAATATTCATAATTTAGGTAATTTGCTACTTAAAACACTCTAATAGCTGAAAATTAAGTGGTGAAATTAACAGATTAATTTTTAGCTGTGTAGTGATGATTTTTTTGTATGCTGGTTTAAAAATCCAGCTATTAAACAGTAAATTGGATAAAATTTAACCAAGTTCTTGGACCGATTAAGAACTTCGGAGAAATGGAAACATCTTTGTTGGAGTGTGAAATTATTGAAGAATAAGTGTTTATCCATGAGAAATTTTTATTGTATTTAGTTGATTACATTTTCAAAGAATACAGCATTCTTTGTATCTTGTGTTTAAGTATAAAATGAGAAACAGAGCCTAACAATTTAGAAATAATAAATT